AGATGTTACTATATTGTGCATAACTTAGTGTTAAAACACGCAAAAGACTATAAATGTAGACTTACAATGCTATGCTACACATCATATGAATAGCCTCGCACTCTTCTAGCACTTGTGTGAATAATATGAAGGCTGTTAAAACATGCAAAAGATTAGAAATGTAGACTTACAAATCTATGCTACATATCATATGAATAGCGCCAGACTCTTCTAGCAATTGTGTGACTAATATGACATCTTTCAGCTGCTCTACATAAGCAATTTGTTTTTGCTTTACAGTTAACTGTCAGATCCCACTCTCCTAATGGGTTAAATTAGGAACAAGAGCATTTACGTGGCCCTCAAGTGCACAACTACAGAGTTAGATCAATAATAACATGGGTGAGGAAGGCCAAAGAGGGAAAAATGACAAAATATAAGCTGAACTGCCATAACTAAGGGAAAATCTCAGCAGGAGAAATATCACTGCCTTTGTCCCAAAAAGATAATGTACTTTCTTCTTTAATCCATCACAATGGTGATCGCTTAAAAGAAATCTTTTACCCACTTTATATAACACCAAAAAGTCCTCTGGTACTCTCTACTTATTTTCAGTACGAGTTTGCATTGTGTTATTCTCCAAAAAAAATAATAAACACGAACAACTCCAGATAGAGGATATGTTATAGTCCTCATTTAGATGTAACATTTGTTTTCTGGATTCTCAAAAATAAAACAACTCAAGGGCTGAAATTGATAGATATTTCTGGTCTTTAGGCACTTTATATGCAAGCATTCCATGACAAAATTTCATGAGTCAAGCTAATAGTTTACGAGATGCTAGTCGGACACCTCATTTCTTACAGCATTTACTTATGATTCAAGTCTTCGGCAACAATTTATCAATGAAACTGCTTATGGCAGATGGGAAACCACTAGGTGTAAGAGACAGATAGATGAAAATTGACATCGGGAAGAAAGAGAACAAACATGGTCACAAACATGTTGTCACAAAGAGAATACAATATACTGAACTGCACGAAAAGATAACGGTTTCCAATTTACCTCCGTTCTGTATCGAGTATCAGGTGGTGGTATCTTCAACCTAGCCTTCCAATCTTGTGAACTGAATAAAGGGGAAAAGAGAAGAAAAGGAATTGATTTATCATTATCCCAGCTATGGTTTAAAATATGTTTGACAGAATAACTTAATGAAATAATTCAAACTCGTCACTCGTGATACATGAAAATAAAAAACGTCCTAAATCTGTATCGAAAAATGATAAGCCAATGAAACTTTTTGGGAGAACAAACATCCTCCATTGATATACTGTTTGCAGTTAATAAGAGAAATCATCCTTTCTTTCCTTCAGTATTTCTCATATGGAAGAAAAAGTCTCTTCCAAATTGCAGGCGTTTGTTGGTACCTGGCTCCCTGACCCTTAAAAGTTCCAATCATAATGACTTGAGTAAGATGGGAAAACTAAGCAAAGCTCTGCCCCCTGACATTCACATTGATGCAGTCATCATAATGAGACTCACAACCATCTCTTAAGCTTAGTCCAACAGAGTCGTTCTTGGGAAAATCTGGTTTCACAAAATGCTAGGACATGCTGTTAGCAGTTGAAGGTCTGATCTATCGAGGAAAAAAAAGTTTGGGTGGCTGGATGATTGTCTCAAAATGCTTCGATTCGGTGTATGTGGACGATAACGTATACAAGAAACTTTTTAGGGGCAAGACAAACCAACAAAATTCGTCTAGGAGGAAGTAGTTTTTAGCAAGCCTATTGCTAGGCATATAATACGAGAGCTCGGATCGAATTGGTATCACTGCATGTAGGAAAATTAGACTCGCCAATATCTTGCCTGGTCAATAAAGAAAAAGAGTCGCCAATATCTTGCATATCCAAAAAGTGCCTCCTCAAAAATAGGCCTTATATCCTAAAGTTCTCAACCAATAAAGCAAGTTAATACTGTGATTACTATGAGATTTATGATGTGCTTAGTTTAGTTGAGAAACAAAAACACTGAATACTCTAGCTTGAGCCTTGAGCACAGTCATATTCATGGTCCAAGCTTATTGCAACCTGAAAATAAAATGCTCAAGCTTACCTACTATACTGGAAAAAGATATCGGGCCCAACAACAGTTTATGTTGGTACATAGAGAGTCACGTACGTACACGTGATATTGAGTTAACAAGCTCTGATCCTCAAACGCAGATCAGCTTTGACTCAAGCAATCTAAGGAAATAACTCGCATGCACCCCCACCAAAAACCTAGTAAAAAGTTGATTACACACTCTTAACATAGTCCAACTAATTAATAATCTATTTCTTTCCATCCATCAAGAAGTTCCCTATATTCTGATCCCACATGATGACAAACTAGTTTAGATAAAAAAGTGATTCAGAAAAGAAGTTAGCTAGCTTTAAGACCATGACCTGCAACACTCAAAACATCAATTATACCAATATCTCTAACTTGACCGATTTGTTCACTTACCACATTTGTAGTTTGTACTAAAACAATCTGTAATTGAGTACAATGTAGCATACAGTAATCGACAAAAATTCTTGCCTCGATCTCAAACAAGTTGGGGTCTGACTAAGAATCCTCTAATTCATTAGAATACTCAATAATTTGAGTTTTAAGACAAATAAGGGTGAACTATAAATTCTCAAAATCTCACACGTATTCATACATTCTATGCACAACAAAATGAAAATAAAAGGAGAAAATAAACCCTACCTCTGGTCAACGGCTTCGGACTGTACAGTCTTTTCAATCTCGTCAACCGTAGAATCAGCAGATGGCAACTGATTCCTTCTGAGCCACTGCTGTGTTTGCTGGTTCTGAAAATGCTGCTGCTGGTGTTGCTGCTGATAGGGCGCAGGACCTCTCTGTATATACTGCTGAGAGTTTCTAGGTTGAAAATAAGGGTTAGTATTTGGATGCATACTCCCGCTGCCGCCACCTCCACGGCCCAATCCCGGCGGTTGAAATCTCGCTCTCGGATTCATCACTAATTAGGTATCTCCAAAAACTAAAGAAATTATCCAATTGAAACACGCAACAATTATGCGACAAAAATGTTCCTAGCTTAATTTCTGGTTGTAGCTCGGTGACAAAAGTACGATCTCCGGCAACCTACGGCGATTATATGTGCGTTCTCCGGTGACAGAAGTATTACGAAAATTCCGCTAAAAATTCGAGGAAAATTCGAAGTAGAAGAAAATGAAAAAAATGATTAAAGGAAAAGTGGTTCGAGGGCGTGGAGAGAGATTTGTTAAAAACTTAAAATTACTGAGTAATGAATGTATTTATGCTAGCTTTTTGTGAGCATTAAGCAATGGGGCTCTTAATTTAAATTTAGTGGAGACTTTATTACAGGGGAGAACAAATAGAACATTTGGTTGACTTTCTAATTCCGGTAATAAAAATTTTGAGGGTAAAACCTTATGCCTCAATTTTAAAGTTCGGCATAATTTTTCTCCATTTTAAAGCATTTTTAAGCTCGTAGTAATTATGATAATCATCATGATATTGTCATAAATCTTAACGGATCACCAGAAGTTTTTAGCATTAAGGCTAAAAATTTTGGTGTGTCATAATTTCGGTTGCTTCAAAATTCTGACCAGAAGCTATTTTTCAAAAAAATTCTTAATGAAAACAAAATATAAGTAGTTGTTAAAAAAGGTTCATCCAGCCTAATTTTCCGTTACTATTACTAGTACCTTTTTTTAAAGACGGAGCTTATTGTTTATTATTCATTGGCCACACGTACTTTGGTGTTGTGTGCTAGAGTTGTATGAATTTGATTTAAACAGTCACACAGTTGGAGTAATTTAGTAACCCAACTAATGATTTCAATATTTGCTTTTAAAGGGACCAGATTGCAAGTTGATAAAGAATACAAATTGTTATGTTGTAAATAGGGGTGTTCATAAAAACCCGAAAAACCGAACCAAATCAAACCGATCAAAAACACCAATATTTTTTGGTTTGGTTTGGTTTTGGTTTTGAATTTTAAAAACCGATCAAATTTGGTTTGGTTTTGGTTTTAATCAAAAAATAACCGAAAAAAACCGAATCAAACCGACTATAGGAGTAACTATTTCAAATTTATTATTACACCTATATATATGTATATTTTTATACAAAGTTTTAAAAATTTTATGGTAAATGTTAATCGTTTGCACTTTTACTCCAGTTCTTTACCTTTATATTCTAGTTTGATTGGTAGTTTTCTTTTTTTAAGTGTAAGATTCCATATCATGTTAAAAATAATATATTTTTAATTGAGTCCTTAAATTATTCATCACTATTTGATTCAACTATTATCAATATATTTTAGTAAATAACAGATTTCTCAAAGGGCAATTGATTTGATAGTGTTACGTTGAAAATGTGATCGCCGGAATATGTGTTTGGTAGTGTATGTCTTATATTTAAGAAAAAACCGACAAAACCCGACATAAACCGAATCGAGAAAAAACCGACTTAATTGGTTTGGTTTGGTTCTAATATTTGAAAAACGGACTCAATTGGTTTGGTTTCTTTTTAGAGAAAAACCGATCCAAACCGAACCATGAACACCCCTAATTATAAAGTGGTGCCAATTGGTAAATCTATTCTATCTTAACAATCCGGTCCCTAGTGACGCGTTTTAATCAAGGAATGAACTCGCATTAATCAAGGAGAACTCGCATCATATATGTAACACCCCAAACTTTAGACAGAGTCCCAGATCGGCAAAACACAAAAGAGATGTTGGGTATGTAAGTTAACAAGCCTTAGACCCTAGTGACGCGTTTTAAACCCGTGCGGGCCTAGCCCCAGAGCGGACAATATCACTAGCGGGCTGGGCTGTTATAGTATAGGGAGAAAAAGACCTTATATCATCCATATGTTTTAAGCATAACCAAAATGAACTCAGACGGAATCTAGCTCAATCAGCAACAGAAAAAAGTGAAAAACATCTATCGAAAATGTATATACATATTCTGCTGCAAACTAACTTTACATCTGTAATCCATATATTTTATAAGCATAAAATCATCCAAGTGCAGATTATCAATACTTATAGCAAGAGATAAAGCTATTCATACATCAATGAAAAAACCAAATCATATACACATAAAGTACACCATTAGGGACATCAATGCCATATGTTTCCTCTTCTCAGTTTAATTTTCTTATATCAACTACCAAGAATTGTAATATTGAGTAAAAGAAATATTCGGCATGTCTTAGGAGGGACCGAAAAACTCTTAGACATGTCCAAGCACAAGAAAAAATTCATGAGCTAGTCTTACCATCTTCCATTTTCTGCACCAACTTTACTTTCTATATCATCCTTGGAAGATAGTGCCAGCTTCTCTCTTAGACTTTCAACCTTTTCTTTCAGTGGGGTGACACTAAGGGCAGCAGCAATCCCTTCCCTGATCTCAGTTTCCAGCTCTTTTACCTTTTCTGAGCTGGAATCCTTCACAATCTCCAGCTTCAACTCTTCAATCTTCTCACTAAGACCTGATCTAGTCACAGCTCTTTGAATCTCCTCCTTTATCTCCTCATTTACCTTTGCCAAATCCTCTTCCAATTCTGGAGGAGCAGCAACGTTCGTCCTTTTGCGCGTGCCTACTATTTCCAGGTTAGCTGACTTTAGAACATCCTCCAGCTCTTTCTTAGCTTTTTCTACTTCCTCCACCAGATTTGTATCCAAAGGTTCGCCGTTTGATAGCTTTTGAGAAGCTGCATTTAAAAGCTCTAGCTTGGCTTTTACAGTTGTTGGAATTTTCTGGTTGACATCAGTTTTTAGTTTCTCAATTTTATTCTTCTGCTCGATGAGCTTGCTAGCCATCTCCACAGTGTGGAGCTTTTGCTTTAAACCAAGATATGCGCCAGGTTGTGACAGCTTCTGCTTAAATTCTTGCATAATCTTATTAGCTTTCTCCTGCAAAGACTTGTTAAGTGGTTGATCCGGAATAGGAGCTCTTTGCAACTCTAGTTTTAGAGATTCAATCTTATCCTGCAAGCCCATAGCTATGAATGCCTTTGTTATCTCAGTATCTAGATCTTCTTGGAGCTTCTCAAGGACTTGGGTTGTAACAGGATCAGATGGTCCCTTAGCTTCTAGAATCTTCTTCCTAAGATTTGCAAGCTCTGATTCCAAATCAGCAGGCTGTGTGTTAACCTCGGATGGCTTCATTTTGCGCTTCCTTTCAGGTTCAACCTGAATGCCCTCCTGGAAACCTCCAATTGAACGAAATTTAAGCATCCGGTGGTGAAGCAACTGTTCAGTGTTCATCCTTCCAAGTTCCTGTATTAGGAAACCATAGTGAAAAATCAACGCAAAACTGCAAGTAGAAATGTAGAATACAGTCAAACACAGAAGAATTCATTATATCGATCAACTATGTCAATTCCAAACTAGTTCAGGCTGGCTATTATGTTAGAATTCAGTCATTCGACAAATTCAGAAAGCACCGTTAGATAATAGTCTAGTATATGGTAATTCTATTCCATCCTATCCCACAGAAGTACCCCCAAACAAAAATTGGCGTCCTTGCTGTTACTTTCTTTCCATTTCCTCTTACAATAAGAAGCCAATCGTTACTCTTTCTTAAGAAAAAGCATTAGCCTTTGATCAATTTCCAAAGACATGAGGTATTACCGCCATAGCCTCGACAATTGCATGTTTAATCTGCTGAGACGCCCAGAAAGGATCGGCATGGGCACCACCCAGAGGTTCCTGCAAGAGATGACAAACAAAGCCAATATTACAGCAAGGATGATTGGATGGGTAAAATAAGCAACTTGTTTCAGTTTAACTACTGGAAGCCTTCACCATGAATTTCCAAATCTTTTCCTCTCTAAAACCAAGAAGTGTAAAAGGTGAAAGTATAGATGGCAAGAGTTCTTACAGGAATAATACCATCAGCTATCTTGAGCCTGTAATGTTCCTGAGCTGTGATCCTCAGTTTTTCAGCTGCCTATTCAATAAAAATTTCAGTAACGGTAACCATATTTTCACAAACTTCAAACACAATATCTTGTATACCTTTGGAGCTGCTTGTGAAGATTTCCACAATATTGCAGCACAAGCTTCAGGACTGATCAGAGAAGCATAGACTTTGTAAAGATATACCAAAGAACGAGATAATCAAGGAAACAATGCGAGAAATGTAGAAGCAACAACTAAATTGTCATTTATTATACAGGTGTAGAGACTAACATGCTAAAGCAATATTGTGTGCCTCAAAGGATTGATCAATCCCTGAAACTTAAAACCAATACTTAAACACATGTGCAATGCGTCCACATCTTTAACCTGACACAGCATGTTTTAGTTTGCCATTGATGCAGTGAGCTGACAGTTCATGTCTTGCTTATATTTCACGCACAAAAAGTACTTTTGACTTGAACTTTTGGTATTCTTCAAAATGTCACATGCCTGCTAAGCAGTTGAATAAATTTATGGAAAATAAAAATGAACCAGATTTTACCTAGCAACATAAAACGCTGAGTTTTCCAACATTAACAACTTGTTTGCACATCCAATAGCAAGAGCACCGCCTGAACCACCTTCACCAGTTACAATCGTTATGATTGGAACTTTCAGCCCAAACATTGTCCTTAAATTGTGGGCTATAGCCTCACCCTACATGAAAATATTGGAGGGGATTATAGATGCTACATGACTAAACCTTATTCAATAACGCAAAATTTGATAGTCAATGTAAACATCCATACCTGACCTAGCTCTTCAGATCTTAAATCAGCAAAAGCGCCTGGTGTGTCTACAAATGTAACAATAGGGAAGCCATGATGATCAGCATATTTCATCATTCTCAAAGCCTTTCTGTAGCTGCAAAGGCAAAGATTTAGTAGTTACCAATCCATCTTTTTACAAAGCCAACTTTGAGGTATCAAATTAAAGGATATTTCCATCGTTACATTGTCAAAAACTAAAGGATATCTCCTTTTAACAACTGAACGATACATAGACTCTCCAAAACCCTGAATAGCCTGTGCAATTATAAAACTGATTTGGGAACATGCTGAAAAACTCATAAGCAGACTACTTCAGCTTAACTTGATAGACTAGTGAAAAAACTAATTCAATTTATCCTTTTAATGCACACAGAACAGATTACTTGGAATGCTTAATGATAGTAAATAAGTACAATTCTGCACATGAGATAAATCTAATATTGCTGTGAAGGAGAATTCTTGAAACATACCCATGAGGAGTTGGCATTGCAAAGTTTCGCATGATGTTTTCTTTTGTATTTCTACCTTTCTGGTGGCCAATGAAGAGGTAACTTCTTCCTTCAATGCTCCCAATGCCAGTAATCATGGCTGGATCGTCATAGCCAGCACGATCTCCATGGAGCTCTACCCACTTTATGCATAACATAGGAATAAGATAACTCGAGTTGTAAGAGAAGCTGCTAACAAACATTGGTGAAAAGCAAATATCACAAATTATACCTTCTCTGTCATATTTAGTATATGATCAAGAACAGTTGGTCTATTAGGGTGTCGAGCAATTTGGAGGCGTTGAATGGGTGTCAAATGAGTGTACAAGTCCTTCAGGGCCTGAAAGTATGGCATATGTATCAAATAGAACAGAAAAAAGAGTTGGTCAAATGACTATATTTGCAAAGATATATATCACCATAATAAGCTAATGTCCTTTGCAAAATGAACAACACAATGTGTTACTTTGTAACAAACCCTTAGAAGCAAAAAAGTAGATAGTATCTCATAAGTTAGTTATACAAGGAAAACGACACTTAGCGGACTGTTGCCCTCTTTAAGATCAGTTTAGTTCAAAACTAAAGCAAATTTTGGTAACAAACATATACAACCAGCTATCTATTGTAAGAGTCATGTGAGTTTACCTGTTGATACTTGGCTTCCAAAGCATTAATCTGATCAGTGAAATCCAATCCAGTGTCTTCAGCCATCCTACGCACCTGTACAAGAAATGAGTTGAATAAAGCATTAGTTTTCTGATTCTGGCAACTACTGTCAATAGAATGAGATTTTACATTCCCGGTGCCATAATCATGAATTAGCCACGCTGTCACCACATACTTAATTTGTGTCAGCAATACATACATGTAACGGCATATATAGCCATTGATAATTGTCATTGTACACTTTAATTGGCTATAACCAAACATCATTTGTAACCAACTCACCTCAATAAGCTGTTTCTCTAAATCAACCAATGGCTTCTCAAAGGCAAGTGTGACTGGTTTTGGTTTCTCATCAAGAGGTTTAAAGAAGGAAAGATACTTTAAGGGTGTCTTAGTGTTTGGATCAATATCACCAGGCCAGGGGTAATCATGCTTCTTCCACTTCTTTATTTCAGCACCAACGCGGAATTTCTTCCGTGTCCTTAGTTTGGGACCATCCAAATCCTTCAAATTCAGGCCATACAACCTTTTGGTAAGAAATACACTACCAAGAGACAAGTGTGGCACAAATTCAGAAGTGAGGTCCTCTGAATTTCTGCCTTTTCCACAATTCCCAACTGTTAAAGATAAGGTGGCCATCTACTTTTTGAATGTGCCAAACTGCAAATCAGCTTAAATGCCTTACGAGCCAAATATCTGCATTTCCCACACAGAGAAACAAAATTAAGAATGAACATTCAAAAGATAGACAGATTAACATCAATTACTTGTACCACTATGCTTGACACATATACTTGAGATAATAATAAGTAATCAAGAGAGTTTTATCCTCAAAAAGTAATCATGTGAGTTCCATCAATACCCAATTTTCAAATATTTCAGTAAAACATGTCTTGAAACTTGACTGAGACAAAGATTTCATCTTTATACTTAGATACCACATATAAATAACAATGCTGAAGAGCCTAGCTACACACATTAGCAACAAAAGTCATTACACAACTCAATCACACCCATTAGCAGAAGCATCAATTCTTGGTTTAAAAAAATTCTGAGCAGCCCAAAGGAGAAATGCACAACTGGGTAAACAAAAGCAAGCAGAAATGAACTACAAGAAACAAAAAGTTTGGGCACGTAGGACAACTAGCCCTAGTAATATCCTCAACTAATCATCTTAAATTTGAAATTATGTACTCTATCAACAAAAAAAGAAATGAATAAAATAGATGGATAAATATCAACTGAGAAAGCATATACCATGGCTGAGCCAAGAAAGTATAGAGCACGAAATATGGAGCTGAAAATTCTGGGGTTCTCCTTTTCTATAATATGGCTTTTTTTGGTATGAATAGGCTAGTAGTTCAAGAACATGAACCAACGGTTGAGATAGAATACATGTATATATGTCAAGTTATCAACTGTACAAATCTGAATGCTCCTTTTTTGGCTGTAGATGATACTAATGGATTAGTATTTGGAAAGTCGTGGAGGTCCCCGCCAAAACATGTCATGTCCAAAGCATGTGACAGGTAAATTTTGCCTTTTGAGGGGACAAATGCTTGAGCTGACTTGTTACACAAGAAGACACACAATATTACTAGTGTTTATCCAAAGTGTTCCATGCTATTTTTATTTTATGGGTTCTAGAAATTATTAGATTTAGAAGGACGATTTCAAATATTAATAGTTAAATTCTGAATTTAATACTATATACATATTTAATAACAGCGGCGGACCCAGAATTTTATACAAGCGAGTTCAATTTTGGAAGTACATAACTTTAGTCGTAAAATAGTAGTTGTCAAGTGGGTTCAAATAAAATATTTATACAAAATTTACGCAGCTTTAATTGTAATTTATACATATACACAATATTATTTTTTGATCAAGTGGGTTCAGTTGAACCCGCTTGCCACCACATGCGTCCGCCACTGTTTAATAAATATTTTTAATATTAAAACATTATTTGTGAATATGTCATTAGGTTCGATCAAATTCCTACTATTAATAAGGGAGAAAGAGAGGTGCCTCCGGGAAAAAAAATGAGCTGCATCCGGTTGCAATTCGGGTCAGAGGGTATTTTTGTAGTCACATAAAAATAAAATGATCCTATTGGCTGACAAATAGAGTTACTGTAGCTACTGTTTAAATATTTGGGTGTGTTGACCAGCTTGCCCCTTGAATTAACTCTTTGAAAGAAAGGTGTGTCATAGCAGACTAACCAACTTAGCCCTTGATCCTGACACGCGTAAAATTTGAATTCTAAGTGGACCCCACTCTTTTCATTGATAATAAATGGGCATGATTTCCTTACAAATTCATTTTATATTGTGGCTAACGTCATACTACTCCTAAGGCTTAAACCAAGTAGAAACGACTTTAGGAATCCAACAAAGCAACTGATGCTTTTGCAGAGTCTTTTTTCGTCAAATTTGTTGTAGTTCAAACTTGTAAATTTAAACATGGAGGCTTTTAAACATGTCACAACCCGGATTTCCCACCCTCGGGAGTCGTGATGGCGCCTATTATTGAGAGCTAGGCAAGCCAAACACTAACTACTTTATCATTAACAACATAATCCTTTTTAATAATTTATCAGCATTAAAATAAAAGCAACCAATTTAACTAAATAAGCGGAGGTCTTAAATTAACGGGAAAAAAAACTGAATGGAAATGCGGAAGAATTCAGCATAAGCCTCTACCCAAGGCTGGTGTCACAATACTCACGAACATCTAAGAATACTAAATACAAAGTCTGAAAGAAATATAGCTATTTGTCTCGAACACAATGAGATAACAGTCTAAAATAAAAGATAGGGGAGACGCCGGGCCTGCGGACGCCTGCAAGGCTACCTCGGTGTCTCGCTGGATTGAAGGCCTGCTCCCACGCTACTGCTGCTGCTGTCCAAAACCTGGATCTGTGCAAAATAGCACAGAGTGTAGTATCAGCACAACCGACCCCATGTGCTGGTAAGTGCCTAGCCTAACCTCGGCGAAGTAGTGACGAGGCTAGGACCGGACTACCAATTAAACCTATGCAGTTATATAATATACAGCGAAAAAACAAAACAGGAATAAACAAGCAAAGATGGGAGGGGGGAACATGCTGTGGGGGTATACCAGTATTAACAATAAATCCAGAGTAACAGTCTAAGGGCAGCTTAGAATTTACAGCGAACAAAGAAACTAATATCCAAAATAAACACACTTGTATCAATAATTGTTGCGGCGCGCAACCCGATCCCAATATATAACAGCACTGTTGCGGCGTACAACCCGATCCATATCATTTAGCATTGTTGCGGCGTGCAACCCGATCCACAAATATCATTGTTGCGGCGTGCAACCCGATCCATATCATTCAGCGTTGTTGTGGCGCGCAACCCGATCCACAAATATCATACAATGCACGGCATCACCCTTCGTGCTTTAACACTCTTCCTCACCCAAACAACAATCACAAATAAGGGTCAAGAAAGTAAACANTACTACAGCAATAGGATGACACTGAAAGTAAGGCCTTAATTTCCTAGATGCCATGATTAATGCGAGTGCAAGCTTTTCCAATTGAGGATACCGCGTTTCCGCATCTAACAAAGATTTACTCACATAATAGATAGGGGATTGTTTACCTTGTTCTTCTCGAACCAAAACCGCACTTACCGCTACTTCTGAAACAGCAAGGTAAATGAGCAATCTTTCCCCAGCCTTTGGTTTTGCTAGTAACGGTGGATTTGATAATTACACTTTCAAATTCCTGAGTGCTTGCTGACACTCTTCGGTCCATTCAAAATGATCCTGCTTCTTAAGAGCTGAGAAGAATTGAAAACACTTCTCTGATGATTTAGAAATGAATCTTCCCAAAGCTGCAATCCTCCCTGTTAATCTTTGAACCTCTTTCTTGCTCGAGAGTATATCAGGGATTTCTTCAATGGCCTTAATCTGTGCAGGATTTTCCTCAATACCACGGTTAGAAACAAGAAAACCTAAGAACTTACCTGATGCAACACCAAATGCACATTTTTCGGGATTTAACTTCATATTAAATTTCCGCAAAATTTTAAAAGTTTCAGATAGATGCGATATATGATCTTCTGAATGCTGAGTTTTAACAACCATATCATCTATATATACCTCCATAGTTTTTCCCAAATGTTCTTGAAACATTTTGGTAACTAACCTCTGATACGTTGCTCCTGCATTGTTTAGACCAAAGGGCATTACTTTATAACAGTAAGTCCCCCTGTCTGTTATGAAGGAAGTTTTTTCTTCATCTCCTGGATCCATTTTAATCTGATTGTACCCTGAATATGCATCTAAAAAACTTAATAGTTCATGACCTGCAGTTGCATCAATCAATAGATCTATGTGTGGTAGTGGAAAAGAATCTTTAGGGCAGGCTTTATTAAGATCTGTGTAATCTACTCAAATCCGCCACTTACCGTTCTTTCTTAGAACTACAACAGTGTTGGCTAACCAGTTAGGATACTTTACCTCACGAATAGAGCCAATTTTTAGCAATTTTTGTACTTCTTCTTGAATCACCTGATTCTTGAAAGTTCCTTGCTTTCTTTTCTTTTGCTTGACTGGAGGATATGAAGGATCTTCATTTAGTTTATGAGTCGTCACCTCTGGTGGTATACCTGTCATGTCTGTATGGGACCAAGCAAAACAGTCTGCGTTAGCTTTTAAAAATTCAATTAACTTACGCTTCACCTCCGGGCTAAGATTAGCTCCTATATACACTTTTCTCTCTGGCCATTGTATAAACAAAACCACAGCCTCCAGCTCTTCTATCGTCGTTTTGATGTTTTCATTTTCCTCTGGTGTCACGACCCGGATTTCCCACCCTCGGGAGTCGTGATGGCGCCTACTATTGAGAGCTAGGCAAGCCAAACACTAACTACTTTATCATTAACAACATAATCCTTTTTAATAATTTATCAGCATTAAAATAAAAGCAACCGATTTAACTAAATAAGCGGAAGTTTAAATTAACGGGAAAAAAATTGAATGGAAATGCAGAAGAATTCAACATAAGCCTCTACCCAAGACTGGTGTCACAATATTCACGAACATCTAAGAATACTAAATACAAAGTCTGAAAGAAATATAGTTGTTTGTCTCGAACACAATGAACCCCATGTGTTGGTAAGTGCCTAGCCTAACCTCGGCGAAGTAGTGACGAGGCTAGGACCTAACTACCAATTAAACCTGTGCAGTTATATAATATACAGCGGAAAAACAAAATAGGAATAAACAAGCAAAGATGGGAGGGGGAAACATGTTGTGGGGGTATACCAGTATTAACAATAAATCCAGAGTAACAGTCTAAGGGCAGCTTAGAATTTACAGCGAACAAAGAAACTAATATCCAAAATAAACACACTTGTATCAATAATTGTTGCGGCGCACAACCCGATCCCAATATATAACAACACTGTTGTGGCATGCAACCCGATCCATATCACTTAGCATTGTTGCGGCGTGCAACGCCATCCACAAATATCATTGTTGCGGCGTGCAACCCAATCCACAAATATCATTGTTGCGGCGTACAACACGATCCATATCATTCAGCGTTGTTGAGGCGCGCAACCCGATCCACAAATATCATACAATGCACGGCATCACCCTTCGTGCTTTAACACTCTTCCTCACCCAAACAACAATCACAAATAAGGGGCAAGAAAGTAAATAAATATTGATAGAAATCCCGGCAAGGGAATGCAATTAAACAATTAAATCCCGGCAAGGGAATAATATCAATAAATTTCCATGTCCCGGCAAGGGAGAAAATCAACAAAACAACAAAACGTCCCGGCAAGGGAATAAACCAATAACTCTTCCTCTTTCTTTCACTTTCATCTCATAGTTCACATTATCACTTGAGCTAACGCTCCAAGGATTTAAATATCTCATATACCTTCACAATTTGTATTTCAACTCGAGCCAACGCTCCACGAAGCTCAACAATCACAATTTCCTTTCACATACTCTTTACAACATATAGAAATCATCAATTAAGTATGGAAGCTATAACAAAACCAGGATATTCGCAATATAAGGACTCACGGTCATGCTAAACACCGATGTATAGATACTCGTCACCATGCCTATACATCGTACTCGGCAAATAGCAAGTAGCAAATAAGACTCAACTCCTATTCCCTTAAGCTAAGGTTAGACCAAACACTTACCTCAACTTCCACGGCCAAATCAATCCACAACAACCGCTTTCCCTCTCGAATTCGGCTCCAACTTAATCAAATCTATACAATAATGACTTCATAGTATCAATACATGCTAAACAAATCAAACCCAATGCCAAATTATAGATTTTCAAGCTTTCTTTCCAAAATCCCAAAATTGACCCCGGGCC